GTTATAACTTTTTTGGTGTTTATTAGCATTGTATTTACATAATTCACTACAATAATGTTAAATTTTAATTAATTTATTCAATAGATTGCATAATTAAATGTGAACAATTGTTAACTATCATAAACAATTATCTAATCCAAGACAGCTCTTCCGTAAGACAATGAGTGATAAACTTGGAATCAGAGAGAGAAAAAAACAATATATCACGCATAGAAAATTTTGTAAATTTCTTAATATACTATTGATATCTTCAATTTACTTAAAAACATTTTAAAATAAGATGGATTTATGCATTCACAGAAGGATGAATAGATAGATACATGACAAAAAATATATAGTGAAATGTGAATGGTAGAATTCAGATGGTGGGTCTATGAGTGTTTACTGAAAATGATTAAAAATATGCTTATGCTTAACTTTTTTCATAATAAAATTTTAGGAAAAGTTCTTACAACATTCATCTGTAAAATAGTGATATAGTATGTTTTAAGAAATTATTACTTTATCCCCAATGACAAGTTCATGTTTTTGTTGTTAACTGCCATTCAGTTGGCCCCAATTCATGATGAGCCCGTGTGTTACAGACTAGAACTGATCCATTGCGTTTACAAGGCTATAGTCTTTACAGAAGCAGTTCATCGGGCCTTTCTCCTGTAGACCCCTTTGTGTTCATACCGCCAACCTTTACGTTAGCAACCAATCACAAACCGCTTGCACCACCCAAGCTCATTAAGGGAAAGTTTATAATTACTTTTAAATCTGTCTGCGTAGCTTTAGTTTTGTTTCTAATGCCTTTGTAAGCGTGTTTTCTTTCCTCAGAAATCATTTTTCTACCATAGTTTAAAAGAAGTATCTCTATATCATTTTATTTCTACTGAAGGAAAGTGTAAATGAAAGTAAGAGAATCAAAAAAGTGAAAAAAGGAAAAAGTAGATAGACCAATTCTGTCAAGTTAAACATAATGAGTAAATGCCAAATATTTCTTTAGATCTTCTAACATAAAGATAAAATGGGCTCATACTTCACATGGATTATGTCAATTTAGTTAATTTCATTTGCCTCAATGAAATAGAGAAATAAATACTAAAATATTAAGTTAATTAAAATGGATACAGTTATTATTTGCCTGCTCCCTGGAAACCATTAAGCGTGGCCTTAGGAATGATAAGATATAAGACATATTCATTGTGTTTAAAGGTTCTTGATCTAATGTCTTCTTGACATATTAGCAAACAATTACAATGACAGTGGAGACCAATGCTATGCATAAACTTAGCAGGCTTAAATAGTGTAAAAAAGATGTTCCTGTTTCTGACTTGGGAACAGAGATTTGGGGCAAACTTTCCAACTTGAAATGTAAAATAGAATAAAGTTAAATTAAATTAACAGGTACAGCTAATGACCAAGGCATTTGATAAACCACACACAAAAAATTTGGATTATTCTTATAAATTTAAATTTCTTAAAAGTGGGAAAGGCATCAAATATATATACATATATACGTAAATATATATATAGTCATCTTCACTAACTTCTTTTATAATAATAATAGCTTTCATTTATTGAATACTTCTCTAATCAGTATGCTAGGTTCTCTAATGATGAATTAATTCAACAGTAACTTTTTGTGTGTCTTCTATGTCCCAGGCACTGGGGTAATTTATTCTTTATGCTTTTCCTGCTAGGCAGTAGCTGTAATTTGGTGATAAATGCCCCCAAGTTATTTAGCTAGGAAATGGTGAAGAAGAAATCATTAACTCAAATCTACCCAATCCTAATATCCTTTCCACTCTACCATGTTGACTATTCCCAGATTTTTTTAAATGGTATTTTAATAGAAGAAGTAATGGATCTTCAAATGATATCATAGTTGACCTTGGAAAGAAAATCACTGAGAGATTGAGTTACTGGGCTGAGGTCTGGGATCCATTGTCTCAGGAGACAGCTAGCTCAATTGGCATAATACAGTCTATAAAGAAAATGTTCTATATCCAACTGTGGTGAGTAGTGAGTGGGGTCTTAAAAGCCTGCGAGTAGCCATCTAAGATACATCTACTGGTCCCGTCTCAGCTGGAGCAAAGGAGAATGAAGAAGACCAAAGACACAAGGGAAAGTATAGTCCAAAGGACTAATGGACTACAGCTACCATAATCTCTACCAGACTGAGCCCAGAAGAACTAGATGGTGCTCGGTGACCACCACCAACTGCTCCGGCAGGGATCATAATAGAGGGTCCCAGACAGAGAGGGAGAAAAATGTAGAACAAAATTCAAATTCACAAAACAAAGACCAGACTTGCTGGTCTGACAGAGAGTGAAGAAATCTCTAGAGTATGGCCTCCAGACCTCATTTTAACTCAGTACTGAGGTCAATCTTGAGGTTCACCCTTCAGCCAAAGATTAAACAGGTCTATAGGACCAACAATAACACAAGTGAGGGACATGCTTCAGAGTTCAATCATGTATATGAGACTAATGGGCACACCTGCCCAAAAGCAAAGATGAGAAGGCAGGAAAGGACAGGAAAACTGGACAAAAAGAAAAAGAAAATCATTCGAAGAGCAAAACTGTTCAAAGTAATTAGCATAAAAGAAACACTAAAAAATGCATTTTATTCTGACTCTGCATATGAATTAAATAAAATATTATCTCTAGAATATACGAACAAGAAGCCATCCTTACAATATATGAGTCCCATATGTCCGATATAGTCTTTTGACAATGTGATGCACGCTTACAATCTTCTTGCTTTATTCCTGTGATTATACGTTTGCTTATTTCCTACGTGTTGAAGGTATAAAGGATTATAGAAAGTTAGAAATTTTATTAGCTTTAATTCTTATGTAATTTCTATGACACCAGCAGAATTGATAATCTACTGGTGTACACAAGTATGGTTAAACAGTTCTGTAGAGCTGGCCACCATTCTAACTGGCCAGTGCTTATGCTGCGTGCTATTAAATAGCTTTAATATTACCCATGGAATTAAATATTATTATCCCTGATTTTATGGAGTGGGAGCTGACTTTAGAGAATTTACATAACTCATCAAGTGTCACATTTTCTAGTATTTCTGAAACTATTCTTTCCACTATTCCACAATTGATTCCTGTAAGTTCAAGAATCACATTCAACCAAATATCTTTTCAGAAACTAGTTATTAATGAATGAAAGTATAAAATAATGCTCAAAAACACTATAAAAAATAAATAATATTTAGTAACTGACAAGTAAATAACTAGTAAACTTAAGTATAATTATCTGCATATATAACTTATACCACATTAATTGGAAATATATTATGGATAATTTTCTATAGCAAGACAAAGATAAAAAATGTTCAAGTTTAAATACTACATTTAGCAGTCATTTGATAACATTTATACTTTAACTTCATGTTGTCCCTTAACTAAGCATTTGTTAGCACATTAAAAAGTGTTAGAAGACAACTAATCAAATATTTTTACGGTTGGCAGTAAGTGAGTGGTTGAATTTCCACATTAAGAAGAATGTACAATTGACAATATTAACATCATTCACCAGGGCTAGAATAAGTCCTGCGTTTTAACAGTTGAAATATCTACCAAAAGCTAATTTTTTTAGGAGAAGTAACATATATTTTTATAATAATGTTAAAAATCAATTTAAAGAGTGCTGTATGTGGCTGACACAAGGCAAATGATCAATCAATGGCAGCCAGAGAGAAAAAGGAGGAGCAGTGGAAAGAGACAGAGGGGAAACAGGTGCAGAGATAGGTCTATAAAGGAAACAGACTTAATGGAAATAGAGCTGAAACTTACTAGGAAAGTTAAATGAAGGGAGCAGATGGAGTCACCAAGTCTTATGGATAAATTGATGGAAGACAAATACAAGTCAGGCCCAAAGGCAACACCAATGAGCGTATAGGAGGGAGAGGGCCAGCAAAAGGGAGATACATCCAAAAGTGCCACCTGTAGACAACCTACAGTCAGGGTTAGTAAGACAAGTGCAGAGACAAGAAGAAGGTATCATCTAAAAGATTCAAACAAAACGCTAAGGAGAAATGTTAAGAAAATAACATTAGCAGATAGGTAAGGCAAGAACGAGTGTGTTTGTTGCTTGACCTGCATATGCAACAATGTTGCTAGAGTATAGACTAAAGAATTACATAGGGTCATTCCTTGAAAGATTTTGAATGTCAAGCTAAGACTTTTCCCCCTGAATTTCATAATAGTGTAACTGAACAATTACGATTTTACTCCATAGTACAAAAACTCTTTTGGGATTTTATTTCCAAAGAATTAATTTTTCACTTTGATATTTCATATTTATCTTTTTCCTCCACACTAGAATGCTATATTTAAATTATTCTAACCCAAATTTGTTATTGTGAATTTTGTAGTTGTAGGGTAATGCGAATAATTCAGATTTTGAATATTTACAAGTAAATGTATTCATAAAAATAAAAGTAATGAGTCTTTCTGATAAGTGAAAACAACATAATATATTTCAATAAACTGAATTGTATGCATGCAGCAAAGCAAGAAAATCATTCATTTAGTGCATCTTAGATACATAATAACATGGGAAAAATGGATTGATGTTAAAAATGTTTTTCTAGCAAGAACTTGTATTCACATTCAAGGAAGGAATAATATTAATTAAAATAGAGTCGGTATTTTTTGAAAGGTACTTAAAATTGTTCTTTATCATGTGAAACCACAGAGAAATTGAAAGTGACTATTTTAGCCCTCAGCAAGTTATTTTAGCATGACATATATGCAGTTCTTAAGAATTTAAAACTAAGAAATGTAATTAGCTATGTGCAATTTATTTTAAGCTATGTCTTTCAAGCTAAAATTTGCTATTAAAATCTGGAAGTGAATTTGTTCTCTTGGGCATGATAAACACTTTGTGTGATTTGCTTTTTTAAATTTTTTCCCTTAAATTTCTCTCCCCTTTGCTTCCTCGTGGCAGTAATGTTGTTAGAAGTGTGTAATGTGATGAATTTCTTGGATTTACCTTTGCTTCAATCTGTTTAGTATCTGGATTCTGAAATAAAAATTTGATTTTGCTCTTGCCATCATCTGAAGAGCCTTTAAGCTGAGAAAATTTATACCTCCAAAGTACAGCCTAAAGGGAAGAAAGGAAACATATGCAAGTCAATGCAATTAATAACTGAATCCAAACTAAGAAATGCTTCTTTTTTTAAGTGGTGAAAGTTAATCATATAGACCATTATATTCTAGTATTAAAATAGTAAATTAAACTGCATTTATCAAAGGCTATAATTTAGTATTTAATAGATGCTTTAGTTTCTAGAAATAGCTTTTCTTCCAATGAAATAATTATTTCAAAATTATATAAAAATAAAACATTTTGAGTATCTGTTCTTGTTTTAAAATGAAATAAGACCCAGCTCATTTAAAAGATGTGCCTATGCCAGTGAGTAAATAAAAACACCTTTTATTTGCTTCTTTGGTTTGTATAAATAAGAGTGGTTGTGACTCTCAATTCAGTGACATTCTCTTGAAGCTCTAATTAATAACATGTAACTTCTAAAGATAACATTAAAAAAAAAAAAAAAAAAACTGTTGCCAAATCTTTATTAAGCCTTGAAAACCCTATGGAGCAGTTCTACACTGTCCTATAGGGTCTCTATGCGCTGAAATCAATTCGGCAGCAATGGGTTTTTTAATCTTTATGGAAGCAAACTGCCACATTTTTCTCCCAAGGAGCAGCTGGTGGGTTTAAATAGCTGACATTTCAGTTAGCAGCAGAGCACTTAACTACTGCACCACCAGGGCTCCTTAGGTAAAATATAAGCTTTATAAATAATTTTGACAAATTAGTTTTTGAATTTGTTCCCGAGTTTGAACTAGAATAATCATTTTATAAAACTTTTCCCATCCATCTATAATATCTTTGAAAGTACAGCCTCTATCTGAAATATATTCTATAAATACAGTTCTCTGTATCTGAAAGTAACAAAAGTCTACCAACAATAAAATAGAGATATAAAAAGTTTAAACTGGCAGTAAATGGAAATAGTGGTATGGTCCCTTATCTGTTTAATGTTATAAATTCTATTGCCTGATGGTAACTGCAGTGCTTTGGTGTTCCTCTGCATCCTGGAACTGAAAACATTCACTCCAAAGTGGAATAGTAAACACAGAAATTATCAAAGGGAGGAATTTTGTATGCGTGTTCAACACAACCACACACCATGCAGTCTTTTTAAATTATCTCAATATACCATTGTCTCATTAAATATATGATGTAAAAAAATAATTTATAGCTTCAAATAATATTTAAAGATAATTTCTTATGATTTCTAAATAAATCAAAGAAATGTTGCCTAGGACAGTCCTGTGTAAGCCATAGTCTCTGATAAAATACTACATAAGGTAAAGAGTATGTGTCTCATATTTTTTTTTAAATAAAATGTGAGAGGACAAAAGCATAAATAAGCACATATGCACATATGAACACGTTAAGGTTGCTTTATAGAGAATAAGGTACAGTTACTCATTTTATAAAAATGAATCTTAACAGATAAACATATTTTAAAACCGAGGTTTCTTAAATAGTTCAAGAACTTCTTTAAGTAGATTATTCAGTCAGAAAATGCCATATCCCCTCACCAAGCAAAATGGTAAATAGTTATTGGCAAGATATCTCTTTCCCTCCATATAATCTCACACTGACATTTTAAAAATGGAACTGGTAAAGGTTGCAAAGTACAATCAAGGGCAAATGAAACATAATGAGAATATGTTTATCTTCAAACAATAATTTCACATGAAATATTCATAAGCAAGGCTTTTCCTCATGATAATCTTTTCAGAATAGATAATTTCAAGATTATAATTATTAGACATCACCTATGGCCTCCATTTGCACACAAGTGGTTTCAACCATTGGAAACAACAGTGATTGACATTCAAGCTACAACTTTCACTCCCAGTGCAGTAGAGGTTTTGCTGTGGTGTTGATTGTAACCCATTGCCGTCCAGTCCATTCTGACTCATAGTGACCCTGTAGGACAGAGTATAACTGCCCCATAGGGTTGCCAAGGAGTGGCTGATGGATTTGAAGTGCTAACTTTTTGGTTAGCAGCCGAGCTCTTAATCACCGAGCCACCAGGGCTCTGGTATCAGTTGTAGTGATGGTAATAATGGTTGTTCTTTTGATCTTCTTGCAAAGGGAATAAATAAACCTTTCATTTTTGCAAAGTGTTTTACCTACTAATAAATACTTGTGTGCTTAAATATACTTTTTTTTTACAATCTTCAATGGGGATAATATGAGAAAGAGATCAAAATATGAAGATTACAGTGACATTTATAAGAAGATTCTGCAGTTCTATATAGAGATTGCATAGAAAATAGTGTTTGTGTCATATAGGCATAGAATCAATCTTGTTATTTTAGTGACATTAATTGAATAATTAATATACAAAATAAACCTATGATAAGGTAAAATCTTACTTCCCAGTTGGTTTTATATTTTCTCTTAAATATTAATTCCCATAAACCAATACAGTAAAACCTGTGAAAGCTGGAATATGTGTAAGGGGGGGACCTGTCAGAGAAGGAAAACTCAAATATTTTCCACTAAAACAATCTAAAATTTGCAAGACTGCATACTGTCAAAGGCAGAAAATTTGCAAGACCTGGAAAAACAAGGCAGTTCTGTCAAGTTCCAGCTGTCACAGTTTTCACTATATTAACAAAAATCTTTCAATCGCTTAGGCTAGATTTCTTAGCCCCTTGTAGTCTGACAGACAAGAAGGCATAAAGTCAAGAAAAAGGTGTAAGAATCGTCCATAGTCTTCAAGGTTGTTGGAATTGGTGCAACCACAAATCTCTCTCAACTTCAGGATGACCTGACACAGTGCCACTGCAGCATAACTCTTTCCTGGTTAAAGTCAATATTTTCTGCCATATGCTTTCCAGATACACTTTTTCAATTTGTATACACCTACGGTGTCTTATAATTCTTCCCAGATTTGGAGCTGCAAGAACACCAAAGCGGGTGATTCACCAGAACGCATACTTTTACAGTGAAACTCACGTCTTACTAGATCATAATTCCTTACAGAATTCTGTAGGATTATTTGACTGAAAGCCATCAACCAAAATTGCAGATACAGGTTTAAATATCATGTATTCTTATGAAAGAACAAAGCCACTAATTAAAAAGTGACAGTACATTTATTATTTAAATATATGTTGTCAGTGTTGTGTGTCATCGAGTAGATTCCAACTCATAGTAATCCTACATGACAGAGTAGAACTGTCCCACAGAGTGCCCGAGGCTGTAATCTTTATGGAAGCAGATCACTGGGTCTTTCCTGCTGTGAAGAAACTTATGGATTTGAACCACTCACCTTTTGTTTAACAGCTGAGCACTTAACCAAATCAACCTATAAGTCCAGATTTTTGTTTCTTTTTTTAGAGGGAGATTAGCTATTACAGAAAAAATGAAAAGATTTTTCAGAGAGTTCCCATATACCTCACACCCAGTTTTTATTATTGACATCTATGCGCCAAGTATGTACACTGTCATGTTAATTAATCAATATAGAAACATTGTTATTGACCAAAGTTCATACATTATTCAGATTTCATTAGTTTTTACCTAATGTTTTTATCCTGCCCCAGGATTCCATCTAAGGTCCCACATTATGTTTACTCTTGTCTCTTTAGGGTGCTTTTAGCCGTGACAGTTTCTCAGACTTTCCTTGAAATGATGACGTTGACAGTTTGGAGAATTTGTAGGATGTCCCTTTATTGGAATTTTTCTGATGTTTTTCTCATGATAATGACTGGCTAAAGATTTTTTTAAATTTTTAAAATAAATTGGAACAGCAATTTTTGTCAATGGTTCCACTGCATATTTCTAAAAAGTTCCAAAGTTCCATCTAATGTATGTTATTTTAATGAGGTGTGTCTGTCAGTGTGTTTACCGAACTTGGTTAGGTGGTCTTAACATGACTTAATTATTCATTTAAATACAAAGCTGTGTGAACAAAATCATGACTTTAAAAGGACTGAGGTTTTATTTCCTTATTACTATATTTTAAAAACATTTCTATAGGGATAGTAAAATATGTATTCCATGTATAATGAAACGAATATACATATATGTATTAATTATATCTTACATAATATATATTTCCTTTTTATTCTAATTTCAAAGTATTAGTTAATATTATAAAAACAATAAAGGACGATTTTTATTCATCACAGAACTGCAATTGTATATGCCACTTTTTAAAACACTATTTATTATCCACATTTTACATGTTGCTATATAATTTGAATAACAGCATGTCAGGTGCAGTGGAATCAGTTCCAACTCACAGTGAACCTATGTACAACGGAACAAAATGCTGCCCAGTCCTGTGCCATCCTCACAATCATTGCTACTCTTGAGCCCATTGTTGAAGCCACTGTGTCAGTCAATCTCATTGAGGATCTTCCTCTTTTTTGCTGACCCTCTACTTTACCAAGCATGATGTCCTTCTCCAGGGACTGCTCCCTCCTGATAACGTGTCCAAAGTACTTTAGACAAGGTCTTGCCATCCTTGCTTGTAAGGAGAATTCTGGCTTTACTTCTTTCAAGACAAACTTGTTGGTTTTTCTGGCAGTTCTTGGTATATTCAATATTCTTCACCAACATCTTAATTCAAAGGCATCAATTCTTCTTTGGTTTTCGTTATTGGTTGTCCAGATTTTGCATGCATAAGAGGCTACTGAAAATACCATGGCTTGGATCAGTTGCACCTTAGGCCTCAAAGTGATGTCTTTGCTTTTTAACAGTTTAAAGAGGTCTTTTGAAGTAGATTTAACCAATGCAATATGTCTTTTGATGTCTTGACTGCTGCTTCCATTGGTGTTGATTGTGGATCCAAGCAAAATAAAATCCTTGACAACTTCGAGATTTTCTCCAGTTATCGTGATGTTGCTTATTGGTCCAATAGTAAGAATTTTTTTTTTATGTTGAGGTGTAATCCATACGGAGGGCTGCAGTCTTTGATCTTCATCAGTAAGTGCTTCAATTCCTCTTCACTTTCAGCAAGCAAGTTCTGTCATCTGCATATCACAGGGTGTTAATGAGTCTTCTTC